GCACTGTCACTGCAGAGATCCGGGTTCGATTCCCGGTCGGGGCCCCTCCCCGGGCAGATGGAGCTCGTTAGCCCGTAAGGCAATCCATCTACGTCCTGAGGACCTCACTGCCACCGTCCAAGCGTGCTTGGCCCCGGCAGATGAACCTCAGGATTAAAGGGTGGGCTCAGTTCCGCGCACACTGTGTCTGACCTAAAAAATCCAATGCGCAGGCTGGAAGGTGGAAAGACCTTCCCCGGTTCTTCGTTCGCGAAGAGACTGGCCATTATAATGGGAACCCTGTGACCATCCTGCCATAGGTGAGTCAGGCAGAGCAACCTGATTTACAATCAGTTAGCTCTTTTTTTTTTTTTTTGAGAGATAGTTTTGATGACCTTGAAGGGTTCCTGTTCAGTTCAGAAATTATTCTGTGATTTGATCTGCACTTAGTCATGGTTAACTGCAGGTGTCTTGAGTTTCAGGCAACAAGAACGTAAAAACTGTCTGCAGTTAAGCCCTTCCCCACAGATTGGAGCAGGACCTTTGTTTTGTCACCATAGCTGATTACCCAAAAGTGAGCACAGGCATGTTTCTGTTGCTTGTACCTGGGAAGCAATGTGATGATCTGTTCTGACTTTAAAGGAGTTACTACACTCCGCATTAATTTAACGCAGATTTTACCTCTGTCCTGGAAGATTGATGGAGTGGGAATGATCTATGAGAGATTGTTAAAGCACTCAAGCACATAACTGCAATGACATAGTTTCTCCTGAGAATAGCTGTCTAAATTACAGCAGGACAATACTCCTTATTAACTGAAAATGGTGCCAAGTTAAGCCTGGTTTGGTGGTTTTCCTGCAGTTAAAAATCTTAAGTGACCTCAAATCATTTTCATGCTCACTGATACAAGCCCGCCTTTAACTGGTTTAAATAATTTGTTTAATTGTTCTACTGTAGTGATCAGTAATTGATTTAAATTACTAGAACTTATTGACTTAAGTAATATCTTTTTAAAGAAGAAAAGGAACCTGGGTTCACATGTTTCATTTCCTCTGTATGTTCCCACAGCTGAACTACATTGTTTGCCAGTTTACCTAGTAATTAAGTAAATGGTATTAAGTAAATATAAAACTAGCCCTTAACTGTACTGTTCTAGGTAGAAACTAGATACTTTATTTTTTCAATAAACTGGTAAATTCTTTCCCCCTGATATCTATGTATAGATTTTGGAGGTTGTGGTTGGTCTGTCCTAGTTCATGTTTTCTCTCTTCTTTCCAAAAGTCTGCATTGGCAACTAGGAAAGTCTTCTGTCTTATTTCTTGCTCTAGGATGTCACTAGGCCAGGGAAATGGGATGCTGAAAGGAGTGTCTAGACTCTTTAAGACTTAACTTTTCTCAAAAGTTCTGTTGAGTTATGATTTCTAACTTGGCTCTCTATTTTAAGAATTTTTAAATCAAAGTATACATTGCTACTTCTCTTTGTCTGTTGAAAAGGAATTTTTTTTTTTTTTTAAATAAAAAATAGACTGTGGGGTAGAATATTGGTTGTATGTTCTGAGTGCTGAGAAAAGGCAATGTGATATGAATGGCCATATTTGAGTAGAGCTTGTTAGTGATCTGATCCCCATACCTTGTTGAATGAACGGCTGCATTTGTAATAGTGTGTTATGGTTCTCTGGCTTTAAACACATTTCAGTGATTGTATTTCACCTCTTTTACAGAAATGTTACGAACAAAAACAGTACAAAAATGGACTCAAGTTCTGCAAGATGATCCTCTCTAACCCAAAATTTGCTGAACATGGAGGTAACTGCAGACTCAAGATTTTGTGTTTTTTTTTTTTTTTTCCTCTTGTCATGAGCTTAAATGTATAATCAGTCTATTTCATGCTAATAGGAAAGAAAGAAGCTTGTTGCAGGGTGTGATTCTGTCCTTATGACTAATTACTTGGGATTTTCAGTCTTTTTGTGTTCAGACCAAGTTCCCACTCTAGCTCAGCCAAAGACTCCTGTGCAGTGGGATGCTGAAGATCAAAATATATGGTGGAAGCACACTTCGGTGGAGCTTCCAAGTAAGTTGCCTTTCTAGGTTTCTGGGTCAAAATACTAGTGTGGGTTTTTCTTATGTTCCTATTTAAGGCAAGCCCAGCCTTTTTTTGGATATTGCATGAAGGTATTCTGCCAGTAGATTAAAAATCTGACTTTTTTTTTTGTCAAGTTCATACTCTTAAATTTCCTGTGCTGCATACCAAATTGCTACTTATAAGAAGCAGAGTAAAGTGTAACACTGTTGCTGTTAGGACTTGAAGCTGAAGACAGAATCTGGAGATCCTGTTCTGATAAGTATTGCAGGAAACAGGGCAGCAAAATCTTGCTTCTATTTACATCCTCAGTAAGTTTCTCTAGCCTTACTGTATTACAGGGTTCAGACAGCCTTTCTTTCCGATATAGTCAGGTTTTCTTGGTTTTGTTATGTTGGAGCAACCTGAGGGTATATGTACTTTGTCGATAAAATTGTTTTCCTATTTGATGTTGTCAAATCTTGGCAAACTGTTTGACTACTCCTTTTCATGCTTCCATCACTGTCTGCTGTTTCTTTGTCTTCATTTGCTTCCCTAGAGATAAAAGTAGTTTTGATGCCTCAAAGCTAGATTGCTTACTCCAGCTCTGACCTGGAGCGTTTGTCTCTACTAGCACTTGTGTTTTTGTAACTTCTCTGTACACAGATCTGTCTTTCCTGCTCTTGCTGCCTCTTAAACTTTTCCAGGGCAGCTAGCTGCCTTGGCAATCCATGTACTACTTGGGCTCTGAGCCACTAATGGCTTTGAAGCTTGGGAGTAAAGCCTGGAATGAACAGCTGAAGCGAAA